TAGTAAAAAGGAATTTAAATTTTTGTACTGTTCGTTTGACAATAAGACTAAATGTACATTCTTTGGTTGACGTTTTTTTTCATTGTCTTTGTTTTTTGAAAATTGTGGGTGGGAAAACTGTGTTGTTTTTAAATTGTTTAATGATGTTTTGCCCTGTAACACATTGTGAAGGAAGATGTAAAAGATGATGTACATGTAACATGATTGTTCATTCAATTATCATTGATTTGTTTTCAGAAAAATAAAAAATGATTTAAAATGGGAAAACTATTTAAAAGAAATTATAAGTTGAAGAAAATGAGTGGTGTAGTTTAAATTAAAGTTTAACTTTGAATTTTAAATTATAAATAGAATTATAATATAAGGCAAATAAGTACTTGTTCCAAATTTACTATTTGAAATGGTAGGTATGTGAGTTTGACATTTTAATTCAACTCCAAAATTGATAGCAAAGTTAATGAGACTACTTGAGTAAAATCAGTGACTCAAATGTCCGGATTAAGACATTTGGTATCAACTGGTGAAAAAATTCACAGGTTGAGGACCAACACTGCAAATTACAAATAAATATTTAGTGACTTGGTTGAAACTTCTTAAGGTTGAGTGACCTAATTGAGACTTTTCTCAAAGTTGGGTGACTTTCAATTAAATTTATCCACGCCTCTTTCTGTTTTGGCCTTTTGGCGTCCGTTTCTCACTGACTTCTGCATCCAAGTAATGTATGTCTCAGTGACTTTCGGATAGTGTCCTTTCTTTATTTTTGTTTTATTTAATGAATTCAGTTCGGCTTCATCAATTTATTCTAGAAATGCCATTTATTTGATTTAAGGAGCAGTGCAGTTGGTGGGCTAAATTTGAGAGAATTAAAATGTGATTTTGCTATTGATTTGATGGGGAACGATGACAATGATCGCTTTGTATTTAACATAACAAGTTTGCAGATTGGGTAATTGTTTTCTGCCTCTCTCAATTTTTCGACCTATATGTGTTTATGAATGAATTTGCAATTGATTCAATACTTAGATGTAATGTTCTTTGGTTTTCTAATTAATCAGATGCGTGTGTGAATGTAAATGTTGTTTACCTTTTCGCAAAACTGATTTATAATTTGATGAACAATATTCAATTTTGTTGGTATTAAGGTGGGTAGAACAGAACACGAGGGACACAGATTTTTTGATCAATAAATTTTTTTGATGCAAAGGAATTGGGTCGCCAAATTTGGAAATGGAATAGTTTTCACTTGAATTCGAATTAATTTTGCATATTCGAATTTCTATGCCTTATTCAGTGTTCCGAAAAAGATGTGTTAATTGTTTCAAATTGATGTGGAACTAACAGTTTCTCATGTTTTTGATTTATAAAGAGAATTCAAGATGAATGGAATTAACTATAAATAATTTTTTTTTTATGTAGAACGTTGACATCAATGACAAATGAGTTGCAAACATGCAATCATATTTTCCATATTTTTGATTGATATCGAGAATTTGTATGTTAAGGGATATATATCCCACATCGATAAATGATGTTGACACAGATCAATTAATAAAAATCTTGTGCTACTCCTCTTAACAATGTTGACCTTTTAAGATGGAACCCCATTTCTTAACATGGTCTCAGAACCCATTATACTCCAACGAGC